GACCATATATATATATATATGTGTGTTTGTGTGCGTCTCTGTGTGAATTTGATATATGTGTGTGTGTGTGTCGGTGCTCATTATTTGCGCATATAGCAGGTTGGATCGGATTTATGCATGCACTCATGTGCATCTTCTTGCGTTGGTTTTATGTCATGCATGCATGTATTTTTGCATTTAGAAACCACTTGATGTGTGGGTATGTGAATATGCAGACACTTACGTATCGTGTCACCTGCATTTAGATCAACGCGTGACATTGTTTGTACCCATGTTTCTCTTTTGTCTATTTATATCTCCCCTCTAGTCATCTTTCTATCTGTCTGACTTCAATCTGTGTATCGTCATTTGGTCGCATCTTTGTATGCATAATCCAGCTGTCTTTGCATCTATGTAAGTAGATACCTGCCTGTCTAACTTTTTGTTTGTCAATCTTCCTACCTTCCCCTTCTATATGTCTACGTATCTTTGCGTAGATGTATTCCGGGTCTTGTGCTTAGCCAGGACAGCATCTGTTGCAAAAGTGTGTGTGCTTGAGGGCTCTGTGCTACAAAGAGTTTTTGGAAAAAACATATGCCAGCCGGCGGTGTTTAGGACTGTGGCTTCGTTCCGCAGACCTCTGACATCGCGACTCGGTGCAGAGGGGCCGGGCATGTTGTTACAGGGTGACCCATGCAGTACATTCTGGAATCCTTTGACTTGTAGCTGCAGCTAACGCCTTGTCAAACTCCAACGGGCCGCACGTCTCTCCAAGGTTCCGCCACTACCCAAGGCCAGGGCTCATGACTCCAGGTTGATGAGCACAAATCCGTAGCAGACGTTATCACGTTCGGATCACTGCCGGCACAACAAGCCTTTTTCTCAAATTTGCATGGGCCATGTGGTGCGGAGGTGATCCTGAGCATGCTGACGGAGGTTTGCCACACCCCCATTGCGCAGAAGTGGGGTTACCCTGAGCGGGTTCGACTCTTAGCTGTTTGCAAATCTGACGGTGCCTTCAGTTTCAAGGCTCGTCTTGCATGTGTTGTCCCTTAAACAGACCTCGTGTTGTTTTCGATTTCAGGTGCTGAACTTGATAGCTGACATCACGGCGGTTCTTGCCTCGTTGCTCACTTCTGTCTGCTTAGTCGGATGAAAGAAACTGCATGGTGGGACCAGGGGAATTCCTTCAGTTTAAGATTTCATGCAAACTTTGGCCAGTCCGCCGCGCTCTTGCAATCGGTCTGACAATCGCATTGGTTGCGGAGATGAGATCAGGATGCTTTGGACCAGCTGACGCACCTGGGGGGACTTATTATGCGGCCGGTCTCGCTGGCATACTATCAGTGCCCTGAAGCAAAGAGACGACAGTGAGGTGAAGGGCTGCCAGTACTTCTGTTATCCAGAGCATTAGCGAGCTTTGCTGCCATTGCCCAGGCATTGCCGCGTGATTGTCGCAACCCGACGCGATGGAGGGGCGTTGGGGTTTCGGGCTTTTGGGCATCTTTGGTTTTGGTGACACATGGTGATGCCACCTGTCAAGCAAAGGCGCTGTTCACCTTCATGTGGCCAATGGTGCACAAGAAAAGCGTGCACCTCAGCAGTTGGGGCTTACACTCGAAGCGGGGTCCCTGACGGCAGAGCTGATCGTTTACTGCAGAGGCTTTGTCATGCACCAACATCCTAAGCCATCCATTTCGTGTGTCGTGGTCGAGGTGCAGACTTTGTTGGCAACATTTTCGCCGCCTGGCTGCAATGTCCGAAGGCTTTCAAGTTTGTGCTCTAGATGTTCCAAGCTTTAGTTTGGACAGGTCATGGTACGGAAATTTTTGTTCAGCTACCATCGCTTGATGTTTCAGGATGCCATCGTGTTCCCTTGCGTGGTCTACTGGGCGACTTGGTTTTGACATTTTCAAGGCGAAGGCATCATCGGGCCATCGTGCACGAGCACCTCACCTCGCTGTGTGAACCTCTGAGGCCATGTCCGGCCTCGAGAGGCGAACGAGCTGAGCTGTCTTCTCCCTCTCCGTCTCTCTCTCTGTCTGTGTCTGTCTCTGTCTCTGTCACTTTCTCTTTCATCGCTCGGTCTCGGAGCAGACTTCCGAAGAGAAGCGGAAGAAAGACACGGAGGACTTTGTAGATTTCCGGTGCCAGGCTCGCAGAAATGATGGAGAACCCTGTGGGCGACGACGACACGGACATCGATATGATGCAGCAGATGCATGAGCTTGAGGCAGTCTCGCCCGCTCTCGGCAGCAGAGCGGTTGGAGTCTAACGGTTAGAGCTGCTCGTTGCACGTGCCGCATCGTCCTGCGGAAGCTACCGGTCATTGCCAGCGACTGGATTCACATCCAGCATTGTGAAGCGTGTCAGGTTGGACTGCAGCTGTCCTTCGAGATGTCAGAGGTCCGCCGCAGCATGATGAGGAGGATGGGAATGCCGTTTTGTTCAGTGCCATTCTGTTCAGCCGGTCGTGTTCGCGTTTTCTCTCCCATTGGCATATCTTTGGAGTTGATGTTTGTCTGTCCTGGTGTTTGTTCTCCAGCTTTTGCTGGGTCAGGGTGTAGGGTTTAGGCTTCTTTAGTTCCACAGCTCCAGCATTCGTCAGCAATATACGTGCCACGTTCCAATCTGCTCTTGACCCGGGCCTGGAAATCCTGAAGAGCGCAGGACACTGGCGAAAGGATGCCCCAGCTGCACTGACGCAGCAAAGGCGGCCATCCGTTTGAATTAGACTTTGCGTACTCATAAACACCCAGACCCTATATGGCCCCTTATTTATGGCATGTACACGTAAAGAAATGTATGTGTATATATATATATATCTACACACCTATCTATCTATCTGTGTGTGTAGATCCATGGGGGGAATACACTCCGTCTGTACAACACCCACATCTGACTTGAATCCGGATCGTCTCTGGCACCAGTGGCAGTGCTTGGGATCCTTGGCAGGGCAGGGCTGCAAGGATAGGGGGGCACAAATCCGCTGTCTCATAGAGTGAGCTCTCTTCTCGGGGCTTGGCTGTTTCATGTCGTAGCAGGCGAAGATGCCGCCGTTGGCGCCTGCTGCCCAGTTTCAGGTCTGGCCTGCTCTGCTTCTTTCTGTCTTTTTCTGTCCATGTATGCGAATCTTTGGAGGATTACTTCTGTTGGTTGCCCCTACCATCGGCCATCGCAGAAGGGGTCCAGACCTTAGCGACCAGTCTTTGTATTATCCACCAGTCAGAAGGAAGGTTTAGATGAGGCACTGCACTCCTGATCTCATCCAACATCCTCCTGGAGACAGTGCAAAGCCCATGGCTTTTGTCAGAAGAGTGCATTCTCAGATGACTCTCAAGCACGGGCATGTCGACCACGCCCACGCAGCCTTTTTGGAGGCTGGCTTCATCCTTTTCAGTGTAGTGTTTCCGATCACTCTGGTCTGCCGTAGACAGGGCACCCGCAGACAGTTTCGTGCAAGTTGTAGGCACAGCCGATGATGCACGGTAGAAGCCCGAGCATCCCAAACAAAACCGTACAATGCAATGAGAATGACACCAGTTCGGTATCTCAGAGGCTCTGAGTCTCTCAAGCAGCGCCTCATCGCGCCGCCTCGTCACAGGGGCACGTTTCGGACTTCCGCGGCTTTCTACGCAAGGCATTGCGCCGGCGTGGGATCCTAGCCTTCAGGCCGTCTGAAGGATTCGCAGGTCAGTCTTGATGCAGGGACTTCAACAGCAGGGCACGCCACGAGCGCGATCCATGCTGGTGTCAAGTTTGGAGGTGACGATCGTTCTTTCAGTCTTGACCTGCAGCGTGACTGTTGCAGCTGGTGCATGTGCAGCAGTGCAGCAACTGCAATCGTGCTTCTAAGGCGCAATAGGACAGGATGCCTAAGACATCAACGGATTTCAAGGGAGTCAGGGCCGGAACAGTCAAGGCACAGCGCGGGCCGTCGCAGCCCCTTCGAGGCCATCCCGGAGGCCGCGGTGGCTGGAGACAGAACTCTGGGCTTCAGGGGCTCCGTGAGCAAAGTGTGATCCGAGTGTCGATGCTTTGTTTTTCCAGAGCATACTTGCAGCTACTGGCATCTAGTAACAACTGACTCCACTGCCACCTGGGATCAAGCGTTTGCGGCCGTGACTCTACCTGGGCACGCGATGCAAGCCTTGTCCTCAGAGTCAGGCTTCGAGTCGTTCGTTCAGACGTTCACGGCTCTCCCGACCGGACCGCACCAAGGCCCCAATGCAGCCATCGAAAACAGAGGAGCCGAAGACACCAACAGCGACTAAATCCCCTCGCGCTGCTGAGCAAGGCTCAGCTTCTCTGTCTGTGAAGAAGCCGAAGCCACAGCCACTCTTGGAATAGAAGACTCTGAGCTGCTCTGAACGATTGCTGTCCCTGCAGATCTGCAGATCGACAGAAGCGGAGCCTGGCTCAGAGTGAAACTCGCTTCGCCACGGAGTACAGTAGGCCCTCAGTAGGCCCAATCTGGGCATGCTCTCTTGGTTGCCCAGCCCAGGGCGTAGTCCGACACGGGGATCCGCAAGGCTGGGCTCTCAGCTCAAAGCCACTCACATGCCCCGCCCAGACTCAGAGACACTCGAATCCTCCCTGAGGGAGCGAGCCACCAGTGCCGCCTCGCCGGATCCCTGCCCTGAAGATGAGCGCTTGAAGCGGCTGCCTGGCAGAGATTGCTTGATGGGCGGACTGATCTGAGTTGGCGCAGAATCGGGGCCTGCAGAATCTCAGGATCTTCGGTCCTGATGGCCTGCCCCCAGCTCCGTGCCCCTACAAATGTTCTGCTTCTTGACAGCAGCAGTCAGATTATGAAAGGAAGAATCCACCAGCTGCGGAGCACAACCCAGGACATGGCGAACACAGACCTTCTTGAATGGCTGGGGCCGCTTGATGCTTTGCCAGGATGCAGTCTCACGTTTCGGGCAAGTGAAGCAGTAACCTAGGTGAGCAGAGGAAGGTGGAGGGTCTCGAGAGGGCCGTTGGACGCAAAGGCGGCTCGGCTCGGACACTTCCTCGTGAGCTGCAGGGAATCGGTTCGGGGTAGTGCTGAGCCGAGGATCGGATGCCAGCGGCCATGCCAAAGACTTGTTTGACAGGGATGTTTTGGTTGTTCCCCAGCAAAGCCAGAGGCTCCTAGGCCTTAAGCTAGACAAGAACGGACTTTAATTCCAATCTTGAGGGAATACTCTAGACACCGCCCACCAAGCAACCTGCTGTTATCTGCTGTTCCTTGCAAGAGACGGCTGATTGATTTTTGCTTCGGGCCGAAGCCCACTGGCAAGAGGAAATAACACTTGGGCCCAGTGCTCTACCCATAGTTGTATGTTGTATATTCCAAACGGAGACCAGTCGGCTGCAGCGTCTCACTGTACCCAGGCCTGACTCAGCAAATTTCCACTTGCCAGGTGTTTTTTACCATCGTTCTGACTGAGAAGCAGGGACATGAGCGCTCACATGAATAGATCAAAGATGAGAGCAGTGTCGCCGTTCCCTGCCTCGCTCCCTGCATCTCATTCAGCTAGCGGCTATTTTTTGGCTCCCAACATCCATTTCCCCTCTCTGGGCTCTGCCCGTAATGGTCGTTATAAAGCTAGCCACTCACTTGAGTAGATTCCGCCAGCTAGAACGCGCACTTGGGCGCTGCTGGCGGGGCAGCATTCGGAAGCCCGTTGAAGTCTTTGAAGACTACGTTCGAAAACAGAGGACTGCAACGGCTTTCGAGGGCTCCGGAAGATGTGCATGTGGAATTCTGACGAAACTGCGGTTGGCTATGCGACATGGGGCTTGGGCCACAAGGTTCGAACATATAGAGGCATTCGATCTCTGTGTTCACCAGCCTGTGAATAGCAGTAATGTTGCCTGAGACAGGTTGGAGATGGGGTAGTCTCTGTGCAAACACCCTACTGGTTCAGCTTACTCAAAGCGCATCTTCACTTCGGCATGCGTAGGTGTTTGGAACCTCCTCGTAGCAGCCAGCCAGTGTTGGCCGTGTCTACAGGCGCACGTACAGCGCATGGCCTGCTCAAAAGTCTAAGTTACCTGACATCGGTGAGCATGTTGCCCAGCTCCACTGAACCATTGCAAGTGTAGCCCGGGTATCCCAGTGCCTTCGCTGCAGATCCCATTCCGGAACGCATCTTTGGCAGTTTGGCAACCACCGTGCTCACACATGCTATGGCGAAACGCCACCGCTAGTGCGCGAGATGAGGTCACCCTAATTCACCGAAAAGTGTCAAAGTCGCTGACTACAGTGGATGCATGCTGAATAAGGTGCAACGGGAGCTTCAAGTCACTGTTGGCTGCAGATCATGGTAATCTTGATGGCTTCATGCGTTGCCCAGCAGATGATGAGTCTGAAGCCTTACTGTTTTCGCGATCCCAATCGGGCTTGACTGCTCTTCGGGGCCAGGTCGCGTTTTGCCTGCTGCCCTGCACTGTAGAGTAAAACCTTCCGGAACGCTGCAGCTTTTTGCGGTTCACCTCGTCGACAGCCAGAACGCGACAAGTCTTTCAACCAGCCACAGTGTCGAAAAGCTAAGCTTCGCGAGGTGTCCAAAATTGCCAGCGGCCAGTTGCATGATGCGATAGCTCTCATGCGGCAGCATGCAAGCCGCTGTAAGCCCTTCCGGAAAGACTCGGAACGACCTGAAAGTTCAGCTGTTGTTTGCTTCCGAGTGCAGCGGTAGGCTTTGGCTCCTGTGATCGGCACTTTCAGTAAATGCAGGTGTTGTAAGCTGACTATTGCACCGGTCATCTCCGAGCCAGATGCTGGACAAGGCTTGGGTGCTTTTGTCGACGCGAAGGCCGTGCAGAGGTCTCAAGCACGGTGCGCGAGACACGTCGCGCTACGGTGTCTGCTTGTCAATCCAGAGGGGCTTGTCCTTTCATCCTCACTTAGCCAGGAGGGCAGTGGAACAGGATCTGGTGTGGTGAAACAAAGACTGTTTCAGCCATACCCTGCCCTTATTCGGGCTTCGTGACGTTGTATTTTATGTTGCATGTCTTCTGCCACAGCTGCAGCTGCCCGCAAAGTCTACCCGGATGGCACAGACCGTGTAGACGAATGCTGGGATTCTGGAGGTATGCAGATCAAGGGTACGAGAACTCCTTTCGTCCTCTGCTGCATAACCCCCAATTAAGTGCATTGAGCTGCCCGATGGGAGGAAGCACCTGATAGACGGCCTCCCAGGCTGCGTCTTTACATTCGCGGATTTGCGATTTGTGTAACAGCTATTGTAAGTGCCATGCCCGACTCCTTTCTCGGAGGCATGGCCTGTAAGTTATGCATGGTGTGCCGGACAGCGGGCTCCATCAGCAGCATTCAACATCGTTCGAGCAGACCCTGCCCACACCCTGACAAGGAACCTAAGACTCGGGAGTTGGACCCTTCGATGTATCATAGTATAGTGGCAGCCGATGGAGCCAACGTTGAATTCAACACTCTGGTGTATGTGTCAGCTCTCCTTCTCCCTCGCACTGTTCTATGACACTGACTGACGGTGGCCGATTCTTGGGGATGAACCGGGCTCTTGGACTGGGACTTCATCTGCGGCTTTGATTTCGGCATCCCCGTAAAGATCGTACACCGTCATGGCCAGGACCTGGTGAGCTTATTCTCTGCTCGTGACGCATGAAACAGCGACATGGACCATGTCTGCCCTTCGAGCTGCGCGGCTGTGCTTTCCTGAGTACCTGACAGTCGGCCCTTGCTGCCAGGCTGCCGGAGCTGAGGAGCTCAAGGTGTATCCGGAGGCTCGATGAAGTTTTGCGAAGCTTAACAGGGCTTCGTGCGACTCAGCACTTCTTTGATGGCGGCCGTGGCCTTTTTGCGGAGAGCTTGAGTACGGTTGTACCATTGCAGGCAGAGCAGGATAGCACCATGGGCATGATCCAACGGGACACCAATGGCTTCTGGCAGTTCCCTCGGAGCGCCGCTACGTCTAGTTCTGAAGCAACGATTCCGAAACGCCCCAGCCCAGAAACAGTGTTTACTGCTCAGACAACACGATCACCGCTTCAAGAGCCAACAAGACAGAAAGTATTGGCTGAGCTCTAGGTCGGTCAGGCGGCGGGGTGTTTGGGGAATTTGTCTTTAAACTAAAGCCGTGGCCCGTGCTACGACCAAGGGGAAGGGAAGGCAGAGGAGAACAGGAGAGCAATAAAGTGACCAAAGCAGAGGCCCGGCAAAAGGCCGGGGCCGGGGGCATAAGGGCTCCTGGCCCGCCCCGGATCGGTAACGGAAGCCACTGCTTTTCAGGACAATCCCATTCCCCGAGCATCTCCGGCGAACATGTTCATGTCCAAGCTTAAGGAAGCGACTTGACAAGGTAAAGCTTAGCCACGGAACCGAATTGAACCTTGCCGCTTGCCACCTCACAAGCCACAAGCCGAAACCCGGCTGTGAGACCTTCCTACACAGGCAGGATTCACGAGCACCACCAGCAGGAAGTCGATTAGGGACGAAACGGGGCAAGGCTACAGTTTTTGGGCCACGAGCAGACGACCTGCGGTCGAACAGGCATGGTGTGCGTGAAAGGGGGCCTCCACCCGGTCGGAGGTTACTTCGCGGGTTCAGGTCATTCGGACTGCCCATCTCCTTAACGCAGGACACTTCGTACAGGACAGAAAAGTGCGCCTCGCACAGAGCTCGTGCACGACGCCTGTCGCTTCGCATCATGGCATGAGAGAAGGCAGTTGGATTTAGACACCTTGTGCGTTGTCACTCAGGCACTACTTGGCTTTCCGTCCAGTTTCGAGCTCAGCTGCAGCTGCAGTCATCAAGAACAAAATTGCAAGGATTTTGTGCCTCCCCCTGAATTGATTCTGCCAAAATGTTCATATTCAAAATGTGGGTGCTCCGCAGTCCTCAGGTCTTGAACAAGCCTGGTGCTGACGGCGAGCTGCGGCGTCAGGTCAGCTTCAGGGGTGGTCAGTACTTGCGACTTCAGACTCTTCCATTCTTCTTTGAAGAGTTTATGAGACCGTCTCTGAGTCCCAATCATATCTCGAGACCGAATCCGCCCTGGCCTGTGTATTCGACGAGGAGTTGTGGCGGAAGCGCATTGTGAACTTGCTCGGCCAAGAGCATCCGGCTGCCCAAACCTCGGCAATGGTTGAGCAGCTAGGTTGTTGCCACTGCATTTTGCTGGTCATCCTATTTCTGGCTCCCTCAGTTTCGACCATCTGCTCGTGTTTTGTGCAGGCTGGTAGAGTTTTTGTAGCAGAAGGAGTGAGCTTGGCATTGCTTTTCACCTACGAAGTGGAAACCAGGACTGGCAAGACATGTCTCGACATCAACACACTCATCCCAACCACCGAAGCCTACTGTAGCCATTTCAGTGACTTTCGCGACTTAAAGAACCTTCGGCCACATGTAGTGTTTTTGCATGTTTTTGCAACCTTCATGGTTATGAAGCCGCCATAGCGAATGTCAGAGAACTGCAGCGGTGTCTGGCCCAGGCCAAGCTGCTGGAGGCGACCGAGCAAACTGACTCGGCGAGGTCGCAGGGCCGGAAAGGGAATCTGGGCCTGGAGGAATGGGCTTGTCCGATCGCTGTGACCTGTAGCATACATTCGAGCTGGTTTCGCTGATGAGCAAGTCCTTAAGCGGCTGCCTTGAGTGCAGAAGCAGTGCCGCAGTGCTGTTGTTCCGTCGAGCAGGTCGGTCCTGCTTCAGCCGCTGAAGCCACCGAAACCGCGACGACACCACGTCTCTGAGGTCGAACCACCAAGTGGTGTGTAGGTGATGCGAATGAGCCCTTGTTTGCCGTTCCCCTCGATCCAGTCTGTAGACTCATGCTGCGAAAACCTGGAAGCCCTTCTCCACGCTGTGTCGTGCTTTCGTGCCTGTCACGATGAGGCCATCGCAGAGTCCATGGCTCCGCGGTCACCTCCTGCCAAGGACCCAAGCTTCAATTGCTGGTGATGGTGGTTTGGTTAACGTGTGCAGATTCTGGGGAGTGGGGAAGTCGCAGCCAGTATTGAGCCCCCAGTAGCCCAAACTCCCAACGGCCAAACAAAGTGCGGAGGAGGTTTGACGGGCTGCAAGAAGCTCAGGAAACAGCCTGAGATTTTGGATCCAGGAGCTTGGGACCATCAATGACCCAACGAGTAGAACTCCTAGATGGAGGCTTGAAGCAAGCTCCACATGGATGGTGTGTGAGTGGTGTAGTACTGGTTCGCGCAATTTAGCACATCTTTCCCTAAATCTTAAATGTTTAGCTTTGAATGACCACCGACCAAGTAAGCTGAACCAGCATACACCATACAAACAACCCGAACCACCGAAACCCTGAACCGACAACCCGAAGCGAAGCTCTCAGCTTCAAGCTCAAAAGTCCCACTGCCAGGATCACAAGACATTGAAGCGGTCAGGCCGGTATAAGGGATCATGAGCACGTGACTGTGTGTCAGATCCGATCAGAGCAAAGCGGCTTAAACTTAATTGTTGCAGTAGGGACATACACCACGATCTATGTCTGTGTCTTTCGTTGTTGCTTCAATAACTTGACAACATTCTTTCGGTTGTTGGGCCCAGTGCAATTGTCATCATCGATTTCTGTTGGTTTTTCAATAGCAGAAGAGACAGAACTTGCTGCCTGTTAATTTTGTCAAGACCTCCCTTTCATCTTCCAAGAGATACTGTTAGAGCCGGGATAAGACCCGTGCTGTGATCAGATGTGATCAGACAGTTGAACCTTTGTTGCCAAGACGCGAGATCTTTGATCTGCATGTCTTGCAGGAACAATGCCGGCGTCTGCATTTGGCCGTGATGGGCATTTCGATTTCAGCCCTTCTCGCCAAGCTTCGCAGAAATCCGCGGGCCTGGCATCTAGCGACTTCTGGCAGAATTTAGGTATTCCTGAGATGCTGACACGGTGGCAAGGGCGAGTGCATGCTAGCACATCAACGCCTGCAACCGTGTTGAAGCAGACTGCCAACACTTCATCGCATGCAGCGGATGCATCCAAACCATGTCATGCTTCTTCCAGCGTTCATCAAGGACTCATATCACTGGGCTGGCGTTGATCGAGCCCTTTCCAAGGCGCCAGAGCTCGGCAAGCAAGCTTTATCTTCCGTGAGAACATGTCTTGTGTGAAAGAAGCCGCTCCTGTGCCTCTTGCTGCGCTGGAGGAGTCAGGTTTGGGCCTGAACTCCTCCCCGCTGGAAGCTCAGCTTGCCAGGCGTTAATGCAAGAACGATTTTCTCTGGAGTGCTGCTTCATCTTAGTCTTCTTGTCATCTGCTCCGTCTCTTTGACGGTGGTAAAACCGTGAAGACTGTGCACATAGCTTTTGCATGCTTTTCCCAGCCGTGTAAGCCTAGTTCGACACAGATCCGTGATGCTCTGACTCTAATCGAACAAATCCTCGACACCTGCACACCATGCTTTGTCTCGCTGAGGCCTGCTGGCAGGCAGCATGCTCTGGGGCGACAGAACACAATGCTCTGAATCATCAACTCAGATGCGTGGATTTGTGTTCGCCATATACGCAGTCAAGCAAACTAATGGCATGATGGTATGTCCAAAGGCTCGCTGATGAAGCAGAGTGCAAGTGCGACTTCTGCAGCAGTTTCGAGCTGTTACAGTTTGCCTCAGTATGCGGCCCAAAGAAGTCAGCAAAGGGATCGCCAATAGGGGAGTCACTGGCCGGGCTGTCGGACTCCGAAAATGTTGTAGCATGTTGTAGCTTTATTGTGTCTTTTGCTTTCTCGTACCTTGTCTTGTGTTTTGGCTTGATCTTTTTTCGAATCTATAAATTCGCCCGGTTTCAGGCACCCGGCTGCCTTTTGCGAAACGGCAGGGGCAGCTGCGGTGTGAGCTAGAGATCAGGAAAACGGCGTCTCGTTCACTCCGCAGAGCGGACGTGCTCGAACCAATCTGGTTTTCCTGCAACCAGTTTGAGTGAAGACACCAGGGTGCAAGTGAAGTGTTCTCAGGTGTTCCCCAACAATATCGACCAAGGTTTGCAACCGTCAGAAGAACCACTATTTTGCATCGAATTGTCCGTGCCAGTCCTAGTCAGTGCAGGACGTGAAAGGTGGACAGCGCACCCGGATGCGTATTAATAGTAATAATAATTGTAATAATAGTAATAATCATAATAAGAATCATAATAATAGAAATAACAATAATAAGTACAAAATACTAATAATAATGATACCAATAGTAATAGTAATAGTAATAGT